ATCCAATGGTATTGAAGAAAGTGATTTTGTGCTTGTGGAGGGCATATTAAAATTAAGAGTAGATTGTGTTTTTGAGATATTTTCATTTTCATCATTAGAGGTATATATTTTATGTTTTATCAGATGCCTGCTTAAGGTACCTAATTATTTTATTAAGAATAAGGTTAAGTTATTTTAACAATGAATTATTTAGACAGTTTCTTAAGAAAAAATAGAACTATATAAATAATAACCAAAATATTTTAATAATAATACTGCTTATTTTGATTAATTTACTGCTTAAAAATTATAAACAATTATTTTATTACTTGTTGCTGACGATACATTATATTTGGTATTGCAGTGAACACATACTCTTTTTTATTGGGACTATAAGTAAAATGTTTCTTGGACAAACTTATGGTTTTCATATTGTAAAATAAAAATTAACAATATCTAAAATAATTCCTCTAGAAAATTTCATAAAATAAAATATACAAAAAAATTATAATAATTGAATAGTAAAGCAAACTTAAATATTAATTCATAAAATAAAATATACAAAAAAATTATAATAATTGAATAGTAAAGCAAACTTAAATATTAATAAAAGACCGGTCCGGACCACGGTCCTCAAAAAAAAGATCGATCCGGCAATCAGTCCGGTCCCGGTCTAAGACCGATAGGACCGAACCGTTGACCTTCACTACGGATAAACATAATCCATTTTATTGATATTCTCATTAAAAAAATTAGAGAAATAATTTCACCCTCAGATATCGAGTAGCTGATTTGGAATGTGAAATTGAGGAAGAGCATCTTAAATGTCTGCAGTCAATTTATGAGACAGGTCATATCTTAGATTAGTGAAGGTCAACGGTCCGGTCCTATCGGTTTTGAGGACCGTGGTCCGGACCGGTCTTTTATTAATATTTAAGTTTGCTTTACTATTCAATTATTATAATTTTTTTGTATATTTTATTTTATGAATTAATATTTAAGTTTGCTTTACTATTCAATTATTATAATTTTTTTGTATATTTTATTTTATGAATTTTTCTAGAGGAGTTATTTTAGATATTGTTAATTTTTATTTTACAATATGAAAACCATAAGTTTGTCCAAGAAACATTTTACTTATAGTCCCAATAAAAAACATAGAGTATGTGTTCACTGCAATACCAAATATAATGTATCGTCAGCAACAAGTAATAAAATAATTGTTTATAATTTTTTAAGCAGTAAATTAATCAAAATAAGCAGTATTATTATTAAAATATTTTGGTTATTATTTATATAGTTCTATTTTTTCTTAAGAAACTGTCTAAATAATTCATTGTTAAAATAACTTAACCTTATTCTTAATAAAATAATTAGGTACCTTAAGCAGGCATCTGATAAAACATAAAATATATACCCCTAATGATGAAAATGAAAATATCTCATAAACACAATCTACTCTTAATTTTAATATGCCCTCCACAAGCACAAAATCACTTTCTTCAATACCATTGGATAAATTTCAAACTGAACATATGAACCAATTAATAATAAAATGGGTAATAATGGACTGTCTGCCAATGAAGACTTTTGAAAGTTCAGGTCTTCATAATTTAATCAAATATTTAAACTCAACTGCTACAATTTGGTCTAAAAACAAAGTTAAAAATTTCAGCTAATTTTGAGAAACTAAGAAGTTCTTTAAAAGATATTTTAAATAAAAATAATTCTTTAATAAGCTTTACCACAGATATGTGGAGCAGTATAAATAAAGTTTCATTCATAGCCATTACTGCTCACTTTATTGACTCTTCTTTTACATTAAAAAATATTTTACTTGATATAAATCATATCCCATTTCCTCATACTTCTGAAGAAATATCCTTAGCTATAAAAGAAGTAATTGATGTATATCAATTGGAGAAGAATATACTGTCTTGAACTACAGATAATGCCAATAACATCCTAAAAAGCATGGATATTTTGCAGAATATTTACAAGGAACAAAACTTTAAAGGTTTCAGATGCTGTGCCCATATTCTAAACTTAATATCTCAGGAAGGTTTATCAACAATTATAACTATCCTAGAAAAGTGTAGAGACATTGCCATTTCTATAAATAAATCACCCAAAATAAATCAAGCATATGTACAAATATGTGAAACTAAGGGTATTACAAAATTTAAAATCCCTTCTGATATCCCTATTAGATGGAATAGCTCCTATTTAATGATGAATACAATTTATGAGGTATTTACATTTTTATCTAATTATTTTTAAAAAATATTTAATTTTTAGAACATGGATGCTATAGAAGAAGTACTTTTTTTGAATTACAAACTATTTAAAGGGGTTTTCTTTACTGAGTGTGAAAAAGAAGAACTTAAAGAGGCTGTAGATTTTCTTAGGCCCTTCTATAAAACCACACTTGATTTATCAGGATCCAAATATCCTACAGTTGGGATTTCCATGTTATATATGGAGAATATAAATAATGAAATTTTAAATAATATAAAAAAAGATAATAACAATACAAGAAAAGAAATTCTCAATAACATGCTGGTTAAAATGCAGAAATATCTCAAAGAATTATTTTGTTATGAATCATATGTTTCAACATTGTTGGATCCGAGATTAAAACAAGTTTACATGCCTAATACTCTTAATAGAATTGAGTATATGACCAAATTTTCAAACTATTTAAGAAAAATACAAAATAAAAAAAATACAGGAATAACGGATTCTCAGGTATATTTTAAATATTTATTTATTAAATCCTAATTTTCAAACATTTGTGCCAGGAGGAAATCAATGAATTTAGTTTTTTAAAAAGAATTTTATCCCAAAAAAGAAATTCAGAAGGGGATTGTATATCCTCAGAAATCATTGAAGAAAATATATCAGAACTTCACACCTATTTAAATGAACCTCTTGTTTCTTTAAAGGATGACATATTAGTATGGTGGAAAACCAATAGTGAAAGGTCTTTTATATTTTGTAAAAGTCAATATAGTTTATTATATAGATTTCCAGTCCTCTCATTAGCAGCTAGAAATTTTTTAGCAATTCAAGCAACATCTGTCCCATGTGAACAAATATTTTCGAAGGCAGGAGATCTTGTCACTAAAAAAAGGAACAGGCTTTCAAACAAAACAATACAAGCTTTGATGTGTATGGGCTCTTAATGGAATAGATCTACCGCCTCCATTAAGCCCCTCTTCTAATTCCTTCCATAGCAATTCTACAAACAATGACATTAGCATTTATTTAAATTGAATATTTGCATTAATTATTATATTATTCATAATTAATTTTATATTGTTTATATAATACTCTTATATTTAATAAAATGATAAAACAAATTAAATTAGGTTAAAAAAAATGTGTTTTTTAAACGGTCTGGATCGATCTTTTTCTTAAGGACCGTGGTCCGGTCCGGTCCGAGGGTATCGGTCCAGTCCGGACCAAAGACCGGACCGTGACCTTTACTATTTATCCGAATCTTCCTCATCTTTTTTCCCCAATTTTAAGCAAGGTTCACAATAAATATAAAGGCATTGTTGTGCTTTTCTTAATTTCATTCTTCAAAATAAAATTTCCAAAGTACATCCAGTTATGATTAGTAGAGAGAGTTGTTATTTTATTGTATAGGGTGGTTTAAAACGTGCAAGTCCATAAAAATAATTAATATGTATTGTTTGTGGAAATGAAATGTGATGTAGGAATAAATGTAAATGATATACATTTTTCTACTATATATAGCAATAGAATACAATTCATATGTTAATTTTATTAATGTTAATATTCAAATTTAAATAATAATAATTTAATATATAAATATAATTAAACAACATTTTAAAAATTATATACGTGGCGTCGTCGCCATAAAAAAATTGGCGACGAGCCGGCTCGCGCCGATTATTTCAATCGGCGGCTGTTTCGGCGTGAATAAAATTACCGGCGGCGCACAGGTCTAGATGTTGCCTTCTTATAACGCTTGACTATAAATGAGGCGCAAAGTAGCGTATTAACTGATTACGCAAATAGACTGATATATATTCATAAGTTAAGTTAAAAAAAAAAAATTTATTATTTGTTGATTTTATAAAAAAATAATTTATTATTTGTTGATTTTATAAAAAAATAATTTAATATTTGTTGATTTTATAAAAAAATAATTTATTATTTGTTGATTTTATCTTATTAAACAAAATGGTAAATGAGTTTGCGAGTTTTAAACAAGTACTTATTTAATTTCATCTTACTTGTCGGATTCAAACAAATATTGTTTGATTTCGTCTAAACTAAATATGGGGTAAGGTGGATTAGTCTATATATGATAGGTAATAATTGAAATTGTATACTTTTAAGTTTAAAATGATAATTCATAAGAGGTAAATAACATTATGTTTTTATTAAATATGGCTCCTAAACTTAACAATATAACAAAAAAATAATATAGCTAGGACCCGGCACTGGCCAATCTGAGTTGACCAATCTCGGACAAACATTCTATGGACTTAAGAAACCTTGATTTTAAAATTTTAATTTGGTCCGGGCCGAACTCGGACCTAGATAAAATTTAATATAAATATTATTTTTCAAAAGAATAAACACGAAGATCTTCCTATTTTCCTTCAGGGTTTATAATTTTTCCGCTTCACTAAAAAATCGCATCAGGTCGGATTTATATCAAAAATAAAATTTTGGGCCGGATCTTTGAGAAAAAAAATAATATTCAGATTGAATCGGTGGGACAAACATTTTTCTCGGATCAGGTCTGGATATGTGAAAAAATCTGATCAATGTTCTGATTAGAGAAAAATAAAATTTGATTGATCCAGCAGATTACTTTCTATAGAAAATTGATTTTGGTTAGATTCGAAATAAAGTTCTAAGTTAGGACAGATAAAATTTCCATGTCACGTGTATCATAATTAATGTAAACTTTTCTCAAAAAAATAGCACCAAATATTGTCAAAAAATTTATATTTAAAAAAAAAGAAAAATTATTTATAAACCAGTGTTCTGTTAATTTCGATAGGCCGCTCTTTAGGATCCACCGTATCATTCGTTTTGATAAGCCTATAAACGAAGTTAGCTAAATTGATTGAGAGTCCATGAATGCTGTCAATGAGAAATTCCAGATCAGATGCATGACCATGAAGGGAGCGAATGGTATTTAAATTGTCCAATATACTGTGGTAAAATCTTGATTTTCATTTTTTATATAAACAACATTCAAGTATAATACTCAGGTCAACTAACATTTTTCCTTCATCGAAATCTCCTGTTTTTCTAGAACACAATTATTTGTGATGAATTATATGCTGCATATGTATTGGTTTTAGGCTTATAATCCTCGAGGAAACTATTTACAAGTATTTAGAAAACCAAACAAATGTTGTTATGTTAATCGACATCGTACTCTAAATGCGTCTTAAACTTCAGATAATTTTTTCCGATATGTTTTCAATGGAAAGGAAATATGATTTTGATAAATTCATTTTAATATAATGTAGAGGAAAAAACCATACTGTGACTTGCCAGTTAATTATTAATTTTAAAAATTTTGAAATAGAATTTTTAGAAATAGAAGATTATGTGATATCCTGCTTTAATTTTTACATATTGGGGATTAGCTCCAATTAGAGAGCAAAATTAGGCTTGCCCTGAAGGGGCTTTGGATCGGACCTATTTTTTAGAAAAAATCGGTTCGGGTTGAGTCGAGTCTAATATTTTTTAAAAAATAGGGCCGAGCAGGTTTAGGCTTAAATGTTGAAATAATATTATATTCTAAAATTTTTGCAAGAAATAAGGTGCCTATAATTTGCGAAAATATCTTTGCAGTAATACATTCGCGAAAATGATTTCATGGTATTTAACATTCGCATTAATATCATACACTGAAAAAGTTACGAGGTAATAACGTGATAGAGTGTTAAAATATTCCCAAAATACAATTCTGCTTCAGATCATCCGACGCATATTTATTTCCTTCGATACTTCAAAAATGTGAAGAAAACTTTTGCTTGGGAACATAATCAACCTAAAATTCGGCCAAAATAACTTGCTAACTACCTTTGCAACAAATCCGGCGGCTTAGCTTACAATCACCATTATCCCTTTCAATGGATTCTTTTATTTCCACTTTATTAATAAACAAAAATATTATTCTTAAATTAACTAAACCTTTTAAGACATCTTGTCAAACAATGCTTTGTCAAATGGTCTGCAAACACATCTCAATTAATTGACTCTTTATACAAAAGGAATGGGATGCTGCTGTCGTGTCACGCTCCATGATTATCTGTTTTCGAGTATGACATGCAGCGGTGCACTAACCTTTTGTTCATTGGTAATGGATAAATCAGGCCACGAATGGTTAGAAGTTTATCTAAGCATGTTAAATATATTTCTTTTGACAAATAAGGAATTTAGATATACTTTGGCTATTAGGATAGGTTTATACATATCTCTACCTTATAACTGTAAAGGATGTGGAGTAATGATTGATTTTAAAGTTAGACATCTACTCCATTGTCTAACTGTAAAAGATACGGAGTAATGGTTGATTCTAAAGTTAGACATCTACTCCATTGTCTCGTGAACAGATGAAATAAGGCACAAAACAATTAATAAAATAATCTAAATTCATTATTCAAAGCCGATGTTCTAATGCATCTCGAACGACGAATTCCTTTGTATGGGAAAACACATGTAAAAAAAGCCCTATCATATAAATTGAATGTAATATTAAAACAGTAAAATGAGTTTTACTATACCTAGGGTTGTTAAACACGGGCTTATTCCCTGGTTTAGTGAAAGATTAAAGGTAAAAATGTTCCTGACTGGAATTGGGAATGAAAATTTTTTCAAATCAAGATGGGCTTTTACCTCTGACAAATATATATTTCAAAAAAAATGCAAGAAAAGAATAAATCAATAAAAGTAGAGTAAGGCCTCGTTTAAGCGTGATATCGTTCAAGCGATACGAAATTCATTGCTAAACGATTGCATAGCTATATTTATTTATTATATATTTTGCAAATTGTGCATCGCTCGAGTGATATCGCTGTATTTCGCGCTTACAATAAATGAGGTCCAAGGCAGAGGAAAAAACTTTACAGTGTTCATCGCATATACTAGATTCCAATTGAATTCTAAGCTTAAATATGGAATGGAAACATATAATTTAGAAAATCGTTTAGCTTGTGAAGAGGTCTGAACCCTGATTGTTGTCTTTCATTAAATAGTACTATTATACAAAAAATAAATAAAGAAACCGATTCTCGAATTCTCGTTCGTGGTCCGCTATGTAAATTCCGGGGATGAAATCGTCGGTCTTGAGAAAACTTTGCAAGGAGGAAGGTGGCAAGGGTTGATCCTTATCTTTGACGGGTTTCACATTGATTTTCTCGTAGGGGAATCTGGGAGGGAAAGGAAGGGCAAGTAGCTCAGACATGTGTTTTATCTTTTAAAAAATTCAAAATTATAAAAAAAATTTATAAGTTAATTTTATGTAATAATTGTATTAGAAGAATAGAGAAATAGGGCTGGGAATCAATATTATTACCTTAATAAATATTATGTAATTTAAGATTAATTTTAAAAAAAATTTTAATCAAATTTAAAATAATTTTAACTGTTATAAAATTAATATTATAACTATATATTTTTTTCGCGATTTAAGCCAATTTCTAGCCGGGTAAATAATCGAAACCAACTTTTTAGCAGAAAACTATCACTCTGGTCTCGGGGTTTTTCTTAAAAAGATGGCAGGCCAAATTTGGATAAAACTAATATAAAATAAAACGCCTAATTTGCACTTCACGATGCGTAATATAAATAATATTATTATATTTTTTTTAAATATAAATAATTTATGGTTATCTGTATGCGTATCTTTTTAACCATTCTATTCTCTATTCCTTAGCTACCTTCTCGAGCAAGTTGGTTACGATAATAAAATGAGCCACTTCTGGTTCAATTCTCAATCTTGGAACAATATATTCTTTTTCAGGTCACTTAAAATCAGATGGTTAAAATATAGAAATGTTTTCAAAATAAATAGCAACTAAAGGAACAGGAAGAAAATGGTCACTATAACGAAATCGGCAATATTAAGAGGTATTCACATTTTGAGGTTTTAGTGTAATAAAAAATGTAATTTATATTTATTTTTTTTGGAAAATATATTTAATATATCTATAGATATCGAATCGATATATAACATCATTTAAGCTGCAAATTTTATGGGGATTTAAAAAACAATATATTTTTATTTTCAATATTTAAAAAAAAATTGTTAGTGAGAGAGGCAACGAGAATATCATGTTAAAAATAAAATGATTTATTTTATAAAAAAAATCAAAAAATCATGGCCAACTTCTTTATCAACATTTCCGTGTTTCTTTCTGGATAAAGGGTCGGCATGTATATAGTAATTCAAATGATTAGCCAAGCCCACTTGACCAATTTCTATGAAGTGAGATATGTGGGATGTGTTGATGAGCGCTGATTGATTCACGATTTTAGAATCCAATAGTTTGGGAAATGCTTGACCAATGTTCATATCGTAGACGAGGTTGGTGGAGCCAATGTAATCGTATGATTCCTAAGATTTTTATATATTACGTATATATATAAGAATTGTGGTTTCTTTTATAAAATTAATTTAACAGTTTTCGAAAATATTATTTTTAAACTTTTTGCGTTATAAACATAAAATCAGTGTTTTTTGGTAAATGGTAAATGTGCTATAGGTCAAATGGCGTAATCAGTCAATATATGTATTCGCTTTCGTCAAGCCCGGGTAATACCTTACCATCTGCACATGCCAGAATACATCTCTGAGAAAATTTGATTTATTAAAAAAAAATTTAAAAAACGAGCTAAATAAACGATTCCGGTATGCACTGCTTATAATTAAAAATAACCGGAATGGAGCTAAATCGTTTTAAAATTTCAAACTAAAAACCGAAATAGAACTAAAACAATACGGTTAGACACCTAACATAAATTCTTCATTTTTGTAAAACTTTGCCATTAAAATATTTTTTTGGCAAAGTATTATGGCGTTGGGCAATTTATACATAATATAAGATTCAAGTTGTTCGATTCGAGGACTATTTTGCTCATATCAAACACATTTTTATTTTAAATGCCTCAAAATTTTAATCATTGTCAAAAATTGTGTTTAAACACTAAATTTAAACTACATAACGAAGTAAGGCATAATAATAATAAACGTAAAAATGGACCCAACAAATAAATCAAAACCAAAGTTAAAGATATATGGGGGGGGGGGGGCGGTAAATGGACTTTCTATCAATTCTTGGCTATTATTTTAGACGATGATTAGCTTAAAAAAACAAGACATTTATTAAATAACATCGGGAAAATTGTTTAAATTTTATAGAATGCTGCATGTAACCTTGATCTTTCGTGATTTGATTATATAAATAAAAACTAACTAAATTGTAATTTACCCCGTTGAAAAACATAAACATAACATTTTTATCGAGATATTGGATAGCGTTTTCCGCGTTAGTTCTAGCCAGCGCTTCGGCCACGATCAACATAGTTATAACGCTTAGAACGGCGCTTTCGGCGGCGGGAGCTATATCGTCGAACATGGTGAGAGCGTCCATCTTAAATAAAATCAACAAAGGATTTGAGTAAAACTTTGAGGATGTATCACTTTTATTAATTGGCTAACCGTTCCATATGTATCCCAAATCCCAAAATGGCTAGTTTTTGACTAGGACCAGAACTTATTAACTTAGTCTCAGGAATTTACTACGAAAAGATAAAATGAATGATTGCGAAATGTAAAGAGGGATTTATCAACTCATTCAGCACTAGTGTTGCGTAATCGGCTAAAAGCTACGCCTAAACCTAATTAGGTTAAGCCTAAAAATCGGCTAAGCCTAATTAGGCTAAGCCTAAAAATCGGCTAAAATTAAATTAGTCAAAATTCTGCATCGATACTTAGCATTAATTATTATTTATTTATTTTAGTAAAATAATTTATTAAATTTATATTTAATGTAAATATTTTATTATAATCAACAAATAATATAGATAATATGATTTAATATTTTTTATTTATATTATTATATTTTGAAATGAAAATAAATTTATTTATTTGATGTTTTTATAATAAAAAAAAATAATATGCTGCAATATTGTAAAAATGTAATATTCTTTTTAATATAATTTATTAGTGATTTTCACAATCTACTTTGAAAATACATCTTTTATTGAGGAATTATATTGTAATTTTATTAAATAAATAAACAATCTTTTAGTGAAATATTATTTTTTTTTTATCATTTTTTTTTAAATTATCTATTTTTTATTAAATGAGGTGGATTTTATGAAACTTTTTTGATGTTATTTTATATGATCTTTTTAAGGTTAATATTTTATTGTGACAATTGTCATAATCGTTATTTTATAAGTTTTACGAATTTTTTTAAAGAAAATATGTTAAAATAAGTATTAATAAGATGTTTAAATAAAAATTTAGTGAAGATGTACCAATGAAAAGTGACAATTGTCATAATCGTTTTTTTATAAGTTTTTTGAATTTTTTTGAAGAAAATATGTTTAATAAGTATTGATAACATGTGTAAATATAAATTTAGTGAAGATGTATCATAGAAAAGTGACAATGTCATAATAGTTATTTTATAAGTTTTATGAATTTTTTTGAAGAAAATATGTTATAAGTATTAATAAGATGTTTAAATAAAAATTTAGTGAAGATGTACCAATGAAGAGTGACAATTGTCATAATCGTTATTTTATAAGTTTTTTGAATTTTTTTGAAGAAAATATGTTTAATAAGTATTGATAACATGTGTAAATATAAATTTAGTGAAGATGTACCATAGAAAAGTGACAATTGTCATAATAGTTATTTTATAAGTTTTATGAATTTTTTTGAAGAAAATATGTTAAAATAAGTATTAATAAGATGTTTAAATAAAAATTTAGTGAAGATGTATCAATGAAGAGTGACAATTGTCATAATCGTTATTTTATAAATTTTTTGAATTTTTTTGAAGAAAATATGTTTAGTGAAGATGTACCATAGAAAAGTGACAATTGTCATAATCGTTATTTTATAGGTTTTATGAATTTTTTTGAAGAAAATATGTTAAAATAAGTATTAATAAGATGTTTAAATAAAAATTTAGTGAAGATGTACCAATGAAAAGTGACAATTGTCATAATCGTTATTTTATAAGTTTTTTGAATATTTTTGAAAAAAATATGTATAATAAGTATTAATAACATGTGTAAATATAAATTTAGTGAAGATGTACCATAGAAAAGTGACAATTGTCATAATCGTTATTTAATAAGTTTTTTGAATTTTTTTGAAGAAAATATATTTAATAAGTATTGATAACATGTGTAAATATAAATTTACTGAAGATGTACCATAGAAAAGTGACAATTGTCATAATCGTTATTTTATAAGTTTTATGAATTTTTTTGAAGAAAATATGTTAAAATAAGTATTAATAAGATGTTTAAATAAAAATTTAGTGAAGATGTACCATAGAAAAGTCTGAAGATGTACCATAGAAAAGTGACAATTGTCATAATCCTTATTTTTAAAGTTTTTAGAATTTTTTGAAGAAAATATGTTAAAATCAGTATTGATAACATGTTCAAATAAAAATTTAGTGAAGATGTACCATAGAAATAGAAAAGTGTGAAGATGTACCATAGAAAAGTGACAATTGTCATTATAGTTATTTTTAAAGTTTTTTGCGTGTGCTGAATCAGCACACGCCTGTACGAATTAGTCAATTATAATATATAAGTCATAGCAGACAGGAAATTCGCTAATTTCTGGAATTCTCTCATTGTAAACAATCTAATTTATTGGTGGAGGGAGAGAATCAAAAGGGGGTAGTTTATATATCATTTTTGGATTTCGTAAAATGGGGTTATTCGTTAGAACGTCCTTCCTTAGAACAATAAAGTTTCGAATTATGGTAGATATATGCATTATCATGATACTAATTTTTTAATTTTAATTCTTTCAATTTAATTCAAAACATCTCTGAATATAATATCTACAATTACTTTTCCTTCTTAATACTTTATTGCTTCCATTGATATTTAAATAGAATTATAGTGGTTTTTTAAAATATATATAATATATATTATAGGTATGCAAAGCCCAACCCAAACCAAATGAAAATGGAATAAAGTTGGGCTTAAATGTTAAAATAAAATATCATTCCTTATTGTGAAATAAATTGATATATTTTGAATTTTTTCCAAAAAGAAAGCAATATTTATTTTCTCTCTATTCAAATAAATTCGTACTGGGTGGACAAACAATAGAACATATTAAAAAAATTCGCTCTATATGTGGTCAGTCCAGACAAATTTTTTTGGAAAAATTTTGAGGCATATATAATTAGGCGTGATGCAGATCACTACTATATATATATCAGAAACCTGCAGAGGTAGCATTTGCATGGACTTGCCTGTGTTTTATATTTTCAGACCCAGCCTGACTCGGATTTTTTTTTTTAAATTTTCAGGAGCTAGCAGGTCTCTGATATATGTCATATACAGAAAAACCATAGTAATAAACAATTCTTCATCTTGAGTCATGACCTCTTTAAATAGGTCCTTATCAGTAAAAAAAAAATTCTACTAAAAATTCTTATCAAAAATGTTTTTTATTGATCAACTTTTCTATGTTGGCAAAAAAAAAGTAAGTAGCTTGACCGTTATTTTTCAGAGGATTTGAAACATAAACAATAAATTTTAAGCGAATTATTTACCCTGGTTGCCAAAAGTACCATCGACCGTGCCTTTAAAGGTTTAGATTTATTAGTAGGCTTTAGCAAGAACCAAATATTGTTGTCCCCTATTTCCATGCATTGTCGTGCTAAATCATTAATTAAAATTGTCAATCCAAACTGTGTTTTAATTTTTATTTAAATTTGATAATACATGAGAGCCCATACCGCGATGTCACTCAGCAATGTGCAATTTTACAAAATATTAAAGTATATATATGCTGTAGTTTAGTGATGAATTACTCATTGCTTAAACAATAATGCTGCCTTTTATACTTACTATATTAGATAATTGCAATTTTAATAGCTAAAAAAAATATTTCAAAAAAATTCAATGCAATGTTTTATTTTATATTGTCACTTTGAGAGATTTTAAAAATATATAAATTCCCAAAGTGTGGATTACTTTGTTTTATTTTTAATTATAAGATATTTAACTTTGTCCTAAATGATGCTATGAAAAACATTAACGAGATCCAAAATTTCTGATATTATTCATAAAAAATCTATTCTATATTAAACAGTAAGCAAGATAAGTAACAATTAAATAATATTGTATTATACATTATTTATATATTAGTATGGATAGTAATTTTAAATGAGAGTCCCATAAAGTTTTTTGCAGGTGGGCCATAAGATATTTGTTATACCCTAAAATTTGAAAGTTATATTTACTGATGTTTAACCTAAATTATATTTTAAGGTATAAATAACTGTTGTTTATAGCAAAAGAGATAAAATATAGATTGATTAATAGAAAATTTATTCTCTAATTCTTTTAAAATACCAAAATATATTATTGAACTTTTTTTTCTAGGTTAATTAATAAGGTTTTTATATTATTAATAAATATAGATAAAAAAAATCCATATATATATATACAGTCAGTCAATGAATTTCCTATATCCCCTCTTCTCATACAAGTTGCTTTATCCTTTACAGCATACATTTCAAATATCATTTGAGCTGAACATATAGGCTCATAATTGGAGCTAAATTTTTCAGTAATATTTACATTATACTTCAAAAAACACTAAAAATATTTGATGGTAATAAAAATGTATATTATGGCAACTTTATCCATTAGTGTATGTATTGATTCTTCATCTTTGACCATAAATATTGGAAAGTCACCCCAATCATTAAAAAAGATACCTTGTCCATGATTCCATTCAATATATTTGCAATTTTCATATTTATCAATGCCAGTATAATAATCTATTTCATTGAAAAAAAATGTTAAGCTCAAATATCATTGTAATATTCATTTAAAAAGATATTTTTAAAGATTACCAGATTGTCTGTTAGGACAGGCTTGATCTGGAGAGAAATGTGGTATTTCATCTAATTTAGTACCATTTAGTGTGTTTAACAATAAAGCACCAGTTATATGTTTACAATTTTTCATTTTAATTAAATTTTTACTGAAGAAAAAATAAATAAGATTAAATAATATTTTACTAATTAAATAAATTAGGATATATCATAGCTATATAATCAAATTCACTATCATTATTTATCAATTTGTCCAAAACGGCTTCATTTAATACAAAATATATTATTCCATTATTTCCACCTCTCATTTTTGCTAGGATAGAAAAAGTTAAAATAAGGTTTATTGATAAATACAGCTGCATCCAATTTGATGAGTACCATTAAGCATTCTAAAGCACCCATAACTTTCGTTAATATTTAAATATACATTTTTATTTTTACGGCTCTTTGAATAAACTTTATTAATGAGAATCAGAGTTAATAAGAAGTAATGCAGTAGTCTCATTATTTTTTTAAATGAAAACCCATATGGGCGTGAATGACTGCATTAAACAGATTCAATATCAAGCAGCGTAGAATTAACTTCAGCATAATATTTTGATTGTTCATTCATTTCTAAGGTATGCAATATTTTTGAAACTTTTGTTTGACGCTTCATCCATGCATTAGATTACTTAAATTAAATATAATTCACTTGATCAGGTTTTTGAAAACAAAACCAAAATATTTATATTAAATATTTTATATCACTCAAAACAATTATTCAAAATGAGAATTAAATAATGATCAATTATGTCAAGGTCTTAAGAAATTGCCTATAAGCCGATATTTAAATATTTATCCGTCTATTATAAAACAATAAGACCTATCAGATCTGAGCAGGCTTTAATAAAACTGAAAACAACTATATTATATCTTAACCCTAATCCATATCCCTCAAACCTTTAAAATTCTAACCCATATAGAACCTTTACTCGCCTTCAAGTACTTATTGAATTAGAAATATATCTCATCCAAATAATTTTCCTTCAGTTAAACATTCTTTGAGTTAGGACTTGAGATATTAAATTTATGACATAAAAAAATATAATATAAATAAAGAAGGTATTCTATTCATAATTTAAAATGACTTATTTCATGATAATATATAACAAATTGTAATCTTCCTATCTCCACCAAATCTTTGAGCAATAACTGATGCAGAGTCCGCTAATATATTTGTGGCACACTCTGCGGCTATTATATTTTTGGTAATGATATGTTCATGTTGGGTGACTTAAAAAATTTCCATTTAATATGCTCAGGCGCGTACGCAGCGGGGGGGACAGGGGGACAAATCCCCCCCCCCCCCCAAAGCCAAAAAATGCAGATGCCGGATTATATTTTTCAAAAATATTATTGTTAATATTTATTCTTATCTCATATATACACATATATATATATATATATTTTATTTATCACATTCATCTACTAAGTTATTTTATCAATCAATTTCGATTTCAAGTTTTCCTTGGCGTAATTTACCTATTATTTTCAAATTTTAGTGGCGTAATATTTATCTAAATTTCTAATAAAATAATAATTATCTCTGAAACTCCTTGTCCAACAAGGAGAAAAAAATTGCAAGCTTGTCCAACGAGATCGAGTCTCCGCCACAGTAACAGCTATTTTGGAGTTAGAAGAGCTGATTATTAATGCTATTACTGAAATATCACAATGGCTTGAAAGAAATATTTCCTCAGAAGCAAGAAAATTATTGAATTCAATACTTATTCCAAATTTTTTTTCTCATTAGAATGTATTATTTAATTATACAACTATTTTATGTAATACTTTTAAAAACATAACATCCACTTGATTAAGAAAATGAGAATAGGGGAGAGCATTTTATTAGAACTCAAGGAAATTAGAGCTAATGTTGTTGAAGAATTTCATATTTTATATGTTATTGTTGAGTCAAAAGCAGAGGTATACGTGTTTAATATTTGTCCCCCTCGACTTGCAGCAAGCAAGCTCATCATCAAAACATTAATATAGGATCAGTAGAAGAGTATTATAAAACAAATGTCCCCTCTCCCAACCTTTTTCATATGGTGATAGAAAAAAAATATAAATATTTGTTATATTTTTATCATGAAGATGTTAAAATATCTTATGATGCCTTATTAGCTGAATAACTATGATTAAAAGATTAACTATGGTTGATACAGTCCCAAAAAATGCTATGGATGCTTTTTATTTTAAACACATTTTAGTTTATACTCCCAATTATTAAAATGGTTATATATATATTAGCAGCTCTTTAGTAAACTAATGAGAGAACATTCACTTTTTTAAGAAGAATAACAGAGCCTTGCAGAGGTACCATTTGCAGGACCAGGCCCAGATTTTATTTTAAAATTTTTTCCGGCCCGGGTTTTTTTTTAAAAAATTTTCAGGCCCGGCCCGGCTGGCTTAGCCTGAATTTTTTAAAATAAATTATATTTATTTTTGATATTTATAGCTAATAATGGCGATTTTAAATATTTGGTTTTAAAATATACAACTCGGCTCGGATATTTTTTCTTAAAAAATTTTCAGGCCCAGCCCGGGTGTTTTTAAAAAAAAAATTACGAGCCCGGCCCGGGTATATTTAAAAAAATTAAAATACGGTCCGGCTCAGGGGCCGGGCCTGCAAGTCTGTGAAAAACATACCTATGAAATACAACATATGAAAGTAGATTGAATGATTTGGATCTTTTGAATATTCATAGACATTTAACGCCAAGCAAGGATTGATAATTGAAAAATTAGCTCAAAACATACAAAATACAATTATTCCTAAGAAACTTTTTGTGTATTAATTTATATTTACAACATTTAAATTTTTTATACTTTATATATTTTAAAAGCTTAAAAAATTCAAATTTCAATTTTGGGTCATTTAGGTGATTCATATCGTGGGTTATATTCACTTTATATTTTATGATTCACATTTAAATGCCGGTTTATATATATAATTTTTTTAATTCACATTAGTTTAAAATTGTGTATTAGAAAAGTTATTAATCCTAATAAATTTATGCTTAGTATTTTTAATTAAAAATATTTTTTCTTAAAAAAATTTATTATCCCCCCCAGACCAAATTCCTGCGTACACGCCTGTGATTCTATAATTAAATCTTTGATAAGTTGATTCATAATCTTGATGATGGATAAATGCCAATTTTAATGAAAATGGTAGTTGTTAAAGAAATTTAATATCACTATCGCATCGATGTTGATTTCTAAGAAATTGAGAAATTATGAGAATCATTTTTTAATTTATTTACGTATCAAATTAATTTTTCACTGAAAATATAAAATGAAATTTGATCTTTTTAATATAATTGTAACTAATATAATGTCATTCACTATTAGATTCAAAAAAGAAAAATAATTTAAAATTTTAATGTCATTAGCAAAACAAAACAAGTAGTTTAAAGGAGAATTATAAATAAATAAATTAATTACAACTACTTAACAATCGATATCATTACCTATCTTAAAATACCTAAAATCGCATCAAATTTTTATTTAAATTGTATAATATTATTAATTCTATTTAGCTTAACTAATATGATATATTTTTTAAGTGTCTGTATCTGTTTGAATGCAGAGTTGAGATGCAGATATTTTTTAATAATATAAATCTTGGATGCTAAATCTTTTCGGTTTTAAAAAATATACAAGACACAAAAGTATAATGTATCTTAGATGCAAATATCCGCGATTCCTTAATTCTGCCATATTAGAGTAAAAGAGTGTTCAGGTAAACTGGAACATTAATGTTTATAATATTGTCAAATGATATTTAGTGAGAATATTGGGAAGAGATTGACGGAAGGTTTACCTTATGAGATGAATACTATGATGCATTCGTTATCATATTCATATTTTTAGAACTAGTAGATTGAATCAGATGATAAAAGAAATGTTTTCAAAATATATTCTTAAAAATATTCTTAGATTTAGTATTAGTATATCACAATCAAACTACAGCAACGTTCGAAATAACATCTAATAATCAAGTTAATGATAATTATTTTTCTTTAAGTAAAATATAACAAATTAAAAGAACTCATTTATCCTTCTATTAAGAATTTTAAAAAAAAAATGATGCAATACCTTTATTACTACCACTTTAAAAGGAATTAAGTTTTGGCTGATGTAATGGATTAATGATCAATTATTTTAAAAATTAACTATTTCTAAAAATAATAATTTAATATCTCTCATAGAGATATGCAAAATCCAACTTTATCTTCAAACATGGTTCCATGCCCAGCATTATTCATTTACCTAATAATTAAAAAAAAAATTATTTAGCATATTTTTTTAATTTCCTCTTTTTTATATTATACATAGGGGTAACCAGGATTTTGTGACTGGGGGTGGGGACACTATTATATGCTTTTTCCCATATGGATTTTTCTTAGAGGCTACTTATTGTAGACCTTTGGATATCTTCGATTTTTATGAAAATAATTTTGTTTCACTTTTTTTATATATAAATACATTTTCTAAAAAAATTTAATAGACGTTATTTTGAAAAGTAATTACTAATTTTTCTTTCAAATTCTTCTTTATAGTGACTTGTATGCTATTTAGAAAAGAAGTGGAGGAGGAGTGGAGGATTTTTATAGGCTCAAAATGATATATTGACAAGCAATTTTCCAATGGGAGGATTCCCCCCTCTACCCTAGCTATGCCTATGTTATAGTCAATTATTTTTTTGGTTTATATGTGCTTGGCTTATAGCCATTTCGCCTAAAAGTGATTAGCAAAAGGTCATCCTATCTAAAAGTGGGAAAAATCAAATACCCAAATTATATATAAATGAGAAAATGTAATGGCAAATTAGAAAATTAATAGAAAAAATGAGAAAATGCAATAGCAAATTAGAAAATTTAATAGAAAATGAGCAAAAATACTAGTAAATTAGCAAAATGCCGTTTCGTCTAAAAGTGCCAAAAGATCAAATAAATTGCAAATGATAGGAAATTAGAAATGTAATACCATATTTATAATCTAATAGAAAATGAGTAAAATTACTAGAAAATTAGCAAAATGCCGTTTTGCCTAAAGGGTCAAAAATAAAATTTAATAACAAATACTCAAATTATGTAATTAATAAGAAAATATTTGGAAAAATCCCATATTTTGACACTGTTCTTAGGCCATTTGTTTATATAGAACTATTCTAATTTAGTAGGTAATGTATATTTTATAGTAAAGTTTCATACTTTTCTATAAGCAAAAGATACAAGTATCTTATATCTTTTTGATATTTATAATAAGATACTAATAACTGTATCTAAGATTCTTTTTCTACAAAGAATCTGCATTTAATATATTTTTTTACAAATATTATATAAGATATATATATATATAGATATCTAGATTTTTTTTGACACTTTTACAAAAATTTAAAATTCCATTAATAAAATAGGTTAGCTTAGGAAAGAAAAGATATTAGTTCGGGTTGGGGGTTTATATTATATTAAATAAAATATAAATTTTATAAGAAACCAAGCCCAAGTTCTAGTCACATAGCCAAGATTTGTCAGCGGGGTAAAATCACAAGCTTTTTTGCTATTTTTTAATTAAATTTGAATTTTTTTTTTAAAGTGTTGAACATAACTTTAAAAAAATTTTTTATCCTCCATGAACATTTTTCTAAGTTGCCCTCTGGTCAGTTTAAATAAGAAGGCTAATAGGATAATAAGAAAAGTTCTAAAATTGACATCAAGATTCAAGATAGAACAAAAATATTTAAGCACTAAAAGCAACTATAATAAAAACTTGAACAAAAAAATATATAAAATATTGCATCATAAAATATCAACTTTTTATCGTATTTTAATATATGAGACTAGATATTTCTAGCTGTAGCATTGATATTTTTATTATTTAGTAACAATAGCAAAAAAATAGGAAGTCAAAGAGAGTGTGGAATCTTTGGGGAAAATTAAATGAACAAAAAAAAAGGAAAAAAGACTTAGTCGGACCGTATAGAATGGTTGATGAGATGAAGTGAATAAAATGATGCAGTGCACGAAATTTCTGGTAGAAGGATAGGATATAAAATAACGAAAAACAAAAAAGGAAAGAAAAAATTTTGAAAATAAAAAATAGAAAAAAGATAAAAATAAACGCGAAATAAAGGAAAAAATGATGAAGGTAAGAGGGCGTGAGAAATTAAACTATAAGGCTAGAAAATAATTGGGAAATAAAAGTGTACAACTTAGAAATCAAAGGACCCCAGGATAGACAAATTATTAAATTTACAAAATAATGATTATGAAAGAGCTACATATAGATATATTTAAACAAGATAAGATGCAGAATATAATTGCGAAGATTGTATAATTTGCATCATCAGAGGAATAGATCACACAGGAAGGATGATAGAATCAAGAGCATAGTAATTAAGATAAGGTTAATAGATCTGCAAAGCCCGGTCCATACTCTTTTTTAAAAAGGGCCGGGCAGGACTTAAATTTTTAAATATAATATTAAATTTTGGTAAAATAAGATAGTTTTCAAAATTTTGCAAGAAACAAGGCGCCAATATTTTTAATTTGTAAAATATTGTTATTTTTAAAATATTGTTTTTACATAATAATATATTAAATTTTTAGATATTTAAATAATTTTGAACGGGGCTGAGTGGACAAATAATCTTAATTTCGGGCCGGGTTTTTCGGGCAAAATAAATAAAAATTTGTTCGAGATTGGGCTGGGTAATTTTTTTTTTGAATTTCAGGTCGGGTCGAGGTTGAAAAATTATGCCCGATGCAGATCACTAACAGATATTAACGTTAAAAAAATCAAGATTTACGATGGTAAATAAAATGGTATTTGCGGTTCGAACAAAAAAGATCAAGATACCCAGAATGGACAAAGTAGCCAGGAAAATATGGAATAGCAAAGCGAACAATTATGGGGTGAGAATGCAGAAGCAATGACTGGATCAGAGAACTAGAATGTAATCGAAACTAAAGACGATTAAAAAGAGATGGCTAATTAGACGGAAGGATAGCATAGATGAGTTGAGGATGAGGGCCGTGTGGTAACTTAGATGAGAGACGAGTGGTGGAATAAGGTACAAGAAAATGGAAAAAAATATTGAAATAAGGATATGGAAAAGGAAAAAAGAAGGTAATAGTGAAAAAGCAATGTATATGGGCAAGAAGATGGAAAGAATAATAAAGAGAGTATGAGTAATTCAAGGAAATAAGAGAGATATCATATTTTGGTAAATGAAGGCAAGATTTAGGAAAAAATATAAAAGCTGTCCAAAATAGAAAAAATTTGAGTATATATATATTCCTTTTTTTGTTCCCTAATTATTTTCGGTGAACTTTATTTACATTGTCGACGTACATTATTATTTTCAACAGGGATTAAAAAATTTTGCAATTTGACTTTGTTAAATTTTTATTTGAAGTTATAGATACATTATAATTGTTGTAATTTAGGATATTATATTATTTATTTTTTTTCATATGGTAAAATTTATTTAAAAATCAATTTTAAAATAATACATTGAACGTTAAAAGTAAAACATATATAAGTAATTTAAAAATATATATTAAAAATATCATGTAAACTATTTGTAAATTAAAATCTATATAAAAAACTGTATAATAAAAAAAAAAAAATTAGTATGGTAAATTGTATGTTGGGTGGGAGGAGGTCAAGAAAGAGAGCCGTTATTAGGCCAATTTTATTATTTTTTATACAAGTCTTAATCACGTGAAAAATACATAATTAAATATAATAAACAATCAAATAAAGTCGTGTACATGATATTTACAATTTTCTAAACTTGATGTAGTGTCACATATGCTAGAAAGTGAACACTTCGGTAAAATACGCAAAGAATTCCTTGTGTCACTAAAAAATTTGAATAAATAGAAAAGAGGTAACATTGGTAGTTTAGTCATATACAAGGCGTGTAAAATTTATTTTCAAGGTTATCAGGAAAAAATTAGCAATTAACTTTTGCGAATAAAAGTGAACCAAATGGATTAGGAATAATGTTGCTATGATATTATTCTTTTTGTTTTCCAAACGTAACCGTTGAATAGTTGTCAAATGGTTCAACTTGTATGAACTCTGTAATTTTTACGTTGGGCCCTATTTTGATGTTTTCAGGGTATATGATATAGTCAGGGTGTCAATCAGTAATCCATAATAATAGATTTCTAATATCTCGAATATTATAATTGCAATATTACATATATTTCCGATACAATATTCCATTTATACTTCCAATAAATTATCATATATAATTCAGAAGATAAATCAGGTTCATATATTTCAATACTTATTTTTAGGTTTTTTTTAATTTGAGTTCAATCAGTTATCCATTTCCTTCCCAATATAAAAAAAACAAACATAACGTCTTAATTTAAAAACAATATTTTTACTAAGTGAAAAAGAAGATTATTATATTGGATATTAAGAAATGAAACTCTTTTTTTTTCCACAGTAGAGATTGACAATGAATTTTAATTTTATTTAAATATAATTTCTTTTATATAAATTAATTTGAACAAAATTTATTAATCATTTTAAAAAAAGTTAAAATTTAGTAATATTAAATTATAATTTTTTTCAAAAATTTCAGATTATTTTTTTTAAGCGTCAAATAAATCTTGCTCAAATTATAGTTATATTCGTTATCACATTTCCCTTACGATTAAGATATGATTATTTTCAAACCAATTTATTGATAATAATAAAATTTGATAATATGTCTAATTTCCAAATATCATATCTGCCTAGAGGCATCATATAAAAAACAAGTTGTTTAGGATAAAAATGTAAGAACTAAAACCCATTTGTATTATTTTATAATTATATACAAAATACTAGGTATCCAATTGTATTTATTAATACCTTGTTATCGATATGAGAAGGGATGGAGAAATAGGGGGGGGGGGGGTAACTAGTCACCCTAATTTAATGTTTTTATTTTAGTATTAATGTTAATTTTTTTTTCTTAATATTTCTTAAAATAAATTTTATAATTTTGTCACGAATATATATTGCTATTTTAAATAATAATACTCTACTTTTTATAAAAAAAAATTTCTGATGTTTTGTCAATATTTCCATTCAAGACTTAAAGGCCTGTAATGGGCTAGTTTTTATATAATAGACTAGTAAGATTAATATTAGTTATAATACTTTTTTTGCCTAATTTCACCATCTAAACAAACAGGTATAAGCTTAAATGGCTAATGTAGACATTAATAATATTTAGGTTCCAATTTATCTAGAATATAATTGAAAGGTTAAAAAATCTATAAAAAACATTAATTTCCCCAGATAATTTTAAAAATTATCATATTCATATTTTCTTCATTTTTTTAAATTTACTACTATGTCCTTTAAGCATTTAATAATATATAAGGCGACCGGACCATATTTTAATACCCGGGCCGGGGCGGGTCTGAAAAAAAATACCTTCTAAATATTTTAAATCGCCATTATTAGCTATAAAAATTAAAATAAATATTATATTTTAAAAAAAGCCGGGCCAGGTGAAAATATAAAACCGGCCGGTTCGCAAATTTTTTAAATAAAAATCCGGGCCGGACCTTGCTAGTATATCTGAGTTCCAATCAAATTAATTAAAGAGTTTTCTAATTATAATATAAAAAAACTTGGAGTCACTATAACTCATTTGGGTAATGAAGATATACTCCAAAACAACTAATCGATTAGCATTCGTAATAATGTACAAGTAAACTAAATATATGTAAAGGCCTACTGATGATTTAAACTAGTTAGGATCTTATATGACATGGCTAAGATTAGTTTATATAATATTGGTAAATCTTAATTATAGTTAATACTATTATTAGTCGATTCCACAAAAAAAAAGAGTCAAATCGAATATTTAGCCGAAATATCTTTGAGAAGATCGCTTCAACGTTGTGGATAAAAATTAATTCGTATCTCTAATTTTTGGGCCTGTAGAATTGAACCAAATAGCGATTAATTAACGTAAAACTTCCACTCGCTTACAGAATATGTATAGATCAAAAAGAGGTGGAAACAAGTATATATAAATTTTAAACACATTAAAATAATAATGTAAAATTACATTTATAATAAATCAAAATCTATTATATTTTTTCTCGTGATATGATTAATTCTGATAAATGAGATTTAAGAAGACGCTTTATAGTTAAATGAATCTTCTTTGTTAATAAAGAATTATATTGATAAAAATATTATCAAAGAAACAACCAAATTTTTATTGATTAATATTTCCTATATATTTGGTTTAAAAAAATTATCGATATTTTGTTAAATAGGTAATTTAATCAAAAAAATAATAATATAATACGAAATTTGTCATAGATAATAAAAAAATGTACATTTCAGATTTCAAATATTAATTTATCGTAGTTCGATCATTTTTGTAAGTCTAATAAATATACATAAGAGTAATTGTCATAAATAAATATTTCATTCATGCCCTTGGCCAATATAATGACAATAAAATAATTAAATCATTTACAAAATATTACAGTATAATATATGCTTATAATGTTTTCTCACTTTTAGCGTGATACATTCTAGGTCCCAAAAATCAAAACATTTTAAAATGTCTTCTCGGTTTTTTTAACGTTTTAAATTTTTGTCCTGACCCCTTAAGGAGTTAAAATCTATATATGGAATGGTATGTGTGGTTATGTGTTTATTAATATATAAAATATATTTTGTAATAAGTTACATATAATATGTTATCGCCTTTTTTTTGTTCTCTATCAATTTTTCTACAAGAAATATTTGTTTATTTGACAATTTTTTGCTTTCCAATGAGTAAAACCAATCTCGAAAGATTACCATGTAATTTGGATAACTCTGTCAGGTCCACTAGATCTTGCTTAAAGCCCAATTTTTCTTCAATTAGCTAGACATATATACGTTATAGAAATTCAGATTAGGGGGTAATTTAAAGGAATTACAACATCAAAACATGTGGAAAAGGGAATTCATTTTTAAATCGATTTGTTATGTGCTGAAAGCTTGTAGAATTTGTTTTAATGACAAAGATAATGGTACAGGGGTTATATAACTAAAATGTTATGGGTTAAAATTTGTTTTAGTCAATTTTTAATCAGTTCATTATAAATTATTAAAAATCATTAAAATTAGCTAAAAGTGATTAAAATTAATAATAGTAAATGCATAAAAGTATTGGCAGTTTATATGTCAAAATAACCTAAAAATATCAAACCCTAAAAAAATTAAATAAATAGTATTAAATAAGCAATTATGTTTAGATCAGATTTATAAAAAAAAATTTTAAGTGATTAGTAATAAGATAATCGAGAAATCTAAAAATGTGTCTTATTGTTCGAGAGTTTTAAATAAAATAAACTAATTGTTTATGTAATATTTCATAGATGATAATAAATTAGTGTCAAGGGAAAACTTTGAAAAATTAAGCATTTTGCTATATCTTATTAAGTCAATTAATTTTAATATAATAAAGTAATATTTTTATGCTTAATTTAAAATATTAAAAACCTTCAAATCTTCTTCCTTATCATTTGAACACATAAATGAACCATTTATATAGAGACAGTTAATAAGATCCAATGGCAAAATTAAAATTTTGTATTTATATGAGGCTTTCATTTCCATTTGCTAATTATAAACAATAAAACAAAAATGTCAATGCAATACCTTTAAAATAGAATTTCCTTTAATATTTATATATATTAAGATATCTTCATTTATTAAACAATTAACATAGTATTTTAGGCAAATGTTGCTGTTTTTTTCTTTAAAATTTATTAATGAGCAGGAATAATCAGGAAATGTGTTTGCAAATATTTTAGCTCCCTTTTCATTTGTATTAGCTGTAATGCCAATAAAAAACTCTCTGCCTAAAATGTTTAAACTATTTATCATTAAGATTAGATGAAAACCAGTAAAAAGAACATCATTTGCATCAATAAATGCATCCTCGTCTAAAATTTCATAAACTTCCATATTTAACTCTTTACTAATAATATTTTTGATATTTTGTTTCTAATTATAGATAAAGTTTTATAAATTACAAATATTTTATACTTCTTTGGCCTGAGAAATTTTAGAGTTGTATAGGAATGCCATACCATTGACACCTATACCTATATCACCAGTAAAGGCAGAATATGGCAAAGTTTCTTCTGCTGCCAATTCAATTACATCTAATCCAATCTTTCTTAATAACTTTACATATTGTTCAAATTCTTTTTTAGCTCGATAAATATCAATTTGCGGTTGGCCGATACTACATATAGATTTTGGAATTCTGCTTACAATGGCATGTGTATACTTAAAATTCATAAAACTGTCAAAGTTTTTAATTCATGAATTTCAGCTGATTGAATTCATGCTAAAAAATGATTTTTTTATATTTATATAGATTTTTATCTAAAATTCGATTGATATACAAAAATTTCATATAATCGTACAAGTAATTTTTTGTAAATTTAAACTAGGTCAGTTTGAAAGATGTGTTTCGACATTGTTCTAAAAATGAGAAGGTATTTAACATCTGAATTTATAATGTTTTCATATCAAAGACTTTTTTAATAAATTATTCCTATTAAATTCTCTTGGATAAAATGTGTAACACAGTCCTACACCTGTCCATATGGACTTTAATATTTTCAAAGTTGGATATAGAACTAGGTTAATTGATAATATATGTTTATTTCCACTCTCACATAGTTAAATAAAAATAAATTTAACATAGCCAACAAAATCCTTCCATCATCAAATTTTTATTCAATAGGGCATAGGCTTTTTACTACTCATTATATAGTTAACTTCGGCCTTCCCAAAAATCTTGGTTGGTTCTCTTAATAACAATGTAAAATAGTCAATATTACCCTTCCATACAAAACCTACTAAATCGGAAATGAGCCTTAATTTAAATGTATACTTAAGGAGAGAGTGGTTATCAAATGAAACTGTAGGAAAAATCAGCCAGCTTAGAGAAGGCAATAACTTGAACAGAGAACTATGGAAAGAGATACAGAAATTGCTGAGAAGTGATAGAAGGAAATTTGTGGCAAAAAAAGCGTTTGAAATAGAGAAAGATATGAATGAAAACAGAATATATGAAGCTTATAATAAACTAAAATATTTCTGCAAACCCTACAGTTTCAAGAAGCTACCTTCTTTAGTCTTAGCAAATGGATATGTAATTTCGGACCAGGATGAACAAATAGCATTATGGTTAGATCACTATATGTCAATCTTTGATTCAAGAAAAGCCGTCTGCCAGACAAACACAAATGTGCATGAACCTCCACCCCCATCCGGTTTCTCCACGGAGGAAATCGAAAAAGTAATTAAAAAACTACGCAATAATAAAGCCCCTGGGCTTGATAATATAACAGCGGAACATCTAAAAACAGCACCCAAAACTGTATCCTCCTTCCTGTTATCTCTATATAACAAAATCTGGGATAGTGGAAAAACACCTGTAGAATGGAATAAGTCTTATTTATGCAATTTTCCCAAAATAAATGATCCAAGAGAGTTTAAAGACTATCGTGCAGTAGCCCTTACATCTACAGTATCTAAGATTTTCATGGTCCTTCTAAAAAACAGGATCATGTCTTCAATTCCAGACTTACTACCCAAATACATCTGCGCTTATAGACCAAATAAAAATATTATCGAGCCAATTTTAGCGTTAAAAATAACAATACAAAAATGTTACAAATATAAAATCCCTGCCTTCTTCACTTTTATAGATTTTAGTAGAGCATTCGATACTGTGAATCACGAGGCCCTATGGAGGACACTCTTGGAAAGTGGGATCGAACCTTACTCTAAGCTATCTGCCTGCTTTAAAGTAAACAATAAAATATCCCCCACCTTCAGAATAAAAAAAGGTGTGAAACAAGGATGCACTCTATCACCATTACTGTTTAATATCATTATCAGTAAAATTATAAAAGAGGTCCTAGATTGCGCAAATCTAATAGAAATAAGCTCAAACTCAATAATACGTTTAGAAAACAAAATAATATCCTATGCCGATGACATAGTCATCATATCGACTAGCTCTGAAGAAACGAAAGATATGCTATATTTATTAGGAACCCTTAGCCTAAGAATGGGGTTAAAAATAAATTTCAAAAAAACTTGTATTCTTTCTTCTCCAAACGAAACTCAAAATCTAAATTTCACAATCGATGGGAATGATATCAAAATAGTTGACAAAATAAAATATCTAGGCGTCATGTTTGACAACACAGGAGGTTATAAAGAAGAGCTGAAAATAAGAATATAAAAAGCAAGAGGAGCCTTTTATAAATACATGAAAATATGGAAAACAAAAGAAATATCGGTACACACCAGACTGAGAATTTTTAATTCCACAGTTGTTCCAATATTGCTATATGGTGGAGATATATGGGAATTGAACAAAACGGAGAACAGGAAATTACAATCTTTTATAAATAACTGCCTCCGAATCATTAACGGAATCTTCTACCCGAGAGTAATATCCAACAATAATCTATGGAGAGTATCAAATCACACCCCAATTAACATTACCTTGAAAAAACGCCGCATTCAATTCCTCGCCCACATCATAAGGAACTCAGAACATAATCTAGTTCATGATGCAATTATATGGCTATACACTTATAAAAAAAAAAGAATACACTAAATATAAATCCCTATGGTATTATAAAACAATAAAAGATGTTATGGAACTTAACTTAAACATGAAGCAATTCATCAAACTAAATAATTGCAAAAACTCTATCAAAAAACTTTTTCGTATTAAGGATAGATATCTGAAATAAATAATTTCTTAATATTTCTAAACCACTGTGTTGCTACTGGATCAGGACAAACTAAAACTCAATTGGTATGTACTCTATATTTTAAATGTGTGTTTTTTGGAACAATATATGCCAGAACAGAAATTTTTTTTAAACTTAAAATCAGCCACAACCCACCCTTAAAGTAATTAACTTACGCAGCAGTTCTTGGGCATAGGCTCTTTATCTCTGCCCCGCTCTTTCTTTTGGAGCCTATGGACGCCTAAGTGCGTACAAACAAACGTGTAGAGGGCTCCTCCCATTTTTTTACTTTCGTACCCAAATTAATTTCGTTTTTTCCAATTAGATGGAAGTGAGGAATACTTAGCGTAGCTCTGTTGTTTACTCAACGTTTAGAGGGCATATGGGCTATATTTCACGTATCACGTATTATATATAAGACGCTTAAGGTTAGACGCGTAATATGCCATATCATAGGTAAATTCGATTGACAGTAAGTAACGTAACACGATTTTAAATAATATATTGATTTAAAACCCAAAATGATAAAACATAACACATAACCTTGACTAATTCATAGATCCTAAAATACTTGTTTCTCAACCACATAAGATTCTCCAGACTTATCATTCTTTTCTAGCCATGAACTGGCTATTTACCAATAAAAAGCATTAGCTAGTATATATACATTGAAGCAGAGTTGTACAAAAGATCTTCTTTGAAGATTTTTGAGCGAGATCTAGCTCAAAAATTTGAGCAAGATCTTTGAAGATCGTAAAATTTGAATCTTTTATTTTTTAAAAATTTTGTGTAACGATCTTCAAAGATCCAACGATCTTCAAAGATCCAACCTTCAAAGATCTTCATGATATTTATTTTTTTACCCCTTTATTATAAGCCCAGATGTTTTTCAATTTTCATTAAGGCAGGAGGAGAGGTATAAAACATAAAAGAAATATTATATTAATAAAATTGAAAAACATCTGGGCTTTTAATAAAGGGGTAAAAAAATAAATATCATGAAGATCTTTAAAGGTCGTTACACAAAATTTTTAAAAAATAAAAGATCTTCAAATTTTACGATCTTTTTATTTTGAGCAAATGTACAACTCTGCATTGAAGTCGCTATTAAAGGATATATAGACAAAATATGAAAAAAAATATGAATACTAAATTCAGAAGGCATTTAGAAAAAGTGTTTTCGATTGCTTCCTATGGCAAATGCCATTAATTATAACTGTCAATGGATGTATAATTTCATAGACGCACTAATGAAACGTGGAGGGGGGGGGAGGTAGAGTGGAAACTACAAGTTAGTTTTTTCTTTATAAATTTGAGAGAAGGTCTATGCCGCAAATTGTAATTTGGGATACACTTGGAGATAGATAATTATATTATATAACACTATTACAACTTATAAAAAATATATCTAATATAGGTCATGATACATATCATCAACTGGAATAATAAAAAATAATGGAAAATAATGTGAAAAATGCAAAATAAATAGTAATATCTACATATACCATAATATCATATCTCTATCTTCATAACGTCAATTACGATATTTATTGGCTCTACATTTTTTGAAAAATAATTTTGGGTTTTCACTTTTTTATATTAGTCAATATTTTAACTTTACTTATTTTTCTATCAAATCATTGTATTCTCTATATTTTTGGGGAGAGTAGTGGTTATGTAGATGAAAAGTTTTATTAGTTTAAAAATATATTTATGAAAACCTGCAAATTTTTAAAAAAAGGAAGAGGGGCTCCCCCGGCCAATATTACTTTAATAAATAATTCGTCTGTGTTAGTATTAATGCTATAAGTCTGAATTCATCATGTTTAAAATTGTTTGGTTCTATATTTTGAGAACACCAAATAAGGCAGAGTTTTAGATAGCCATCTAACCTATGGTTATTTTAGAACCTAACTAAGGATTAATTTTTCCGCGAAATATAGTTTAAAATTTCTTATCCCTAATATAAATTCACAAGCTAGTGCAAAGTAAAATATATATATTATCAGTATTTACCAAAAATATTTAGTAGATATAATTAATTATAAGGCTACTTCCAAACTTAATTTTTTTACTCCTAATACAATACCGCTGTTATAACTTGATTTACGTTTTCAAATTTTTTTTACCAGTACAATTTTTAGATGTAAAAATAGCTATTTAAAGCTTTTTTTAACTTCTCTTTTTGATGATAAACTTACATTACCTCATTAATTTGATCGACAATATGATTAGTGTTTTATTTTAGGTTACTTTTTTTTATCTCATAATATTAAAATTTTAGGTTGTTATTTTCTAATTTTTTTCTTATTTTATTAATAAACTTTTAATTGCCTATCTGTATCATTAAATAGTTTATTATCCTTTTTTAAAAACTTGTATTATTATTACCAGGGTTTAGCTTCACGGCAAAGAGGCTAATTTTTCCTCAAAAATGTATGATCCTTAAAGAATTTTATATATCATTTATTAAAAACGTCCTAATCATCCTTTAGTAAAATATATAAAATAATCAGAAGTGTAGCTCGAATAGAAAAGAATATTGATAGATGAGACCAATTAAAAGTA